ATTCGATTTGTAGACAATCGTATTAGATATCGATAGTCGATTATAACGATAGATCGATAAGTATTGTATCATGGCATCGAAAGTCGATTACTGTATGATACATCGATGGACGTTCGATTTGTAGACAATCGTATCGATTAAATATCGATAGTCGATTATAACGATACATCGATAAGTATTGTATCGTGACGTGAAAAGTCGATTACTGTATGATACATCGATGAGCATTCGATTTGTAGACAATCGTATTAGATATCGATAGTCGATTATAACGATGCATCGATAAGTGTTGTGTCATGGCATCAAAAGTCAATTACTGATACATCGATGGACGTTCGATTTATAGACAATCGTATTAGATATCGATAGTCGATTATAACGATATATCGATAAATATTATGTCGTGGCGTGAAAAGTCGATTACTGTATGATACATCGATTAGATATCGATAATTGATTGCACGGTCTAACACCGTTGTACATTGATTGTTTGGAATCTGAATGAATCGTGTTTATTGAGAGAAAAAAGTTTATGAATGTGTGTTTGGATAAGAGTGGAGGGTTTTTATGAAATTCTAAAGACATGTAGCGCAACTTTTAGGTTATGTAAGATGCTCAATTGTGGGGAGAGCGAAATATTGGCCTCGTAGGCAAGTTTGGAGGTTCAGTGGGCGGCAGTTCGTGGATCTCGCGGATCTTCTCTCGATCGACGCGAGGTCCGAGGGATTTTGGCGACGTCCGGGCGCGGCGGGGGGTGGGGGAACGTGATCCGTACGCGGAGGTCTGGAGCTGGCGCCAGATGCCCCTTCGTCCCGGCGCCGTTCCAACGTCGAAACACGATTACTCTTCCAACCGGTTCCCATTAACCCTCCAGTCGCCTATTTTGAAACGCGAGCACGGCCGCTGGGTGTCTTACACCCTGTGTTACATTAACACCGTTCCTTTCCGCCATTTTACCAAAAGTTGTCTTCGACAACTTTGCATTCGATTACAAACAAATATTAAAGAAATTCTCCTATGTCAAGAAACGATTGAACTTTGAAATTGAAATATCAAAAGGTGTCTTTCACTTCTGACAGAGCCCAGTGAAAATTCTGTTAATCTTTTAAAAAATCGAGTCTAATTTATGATCGATTCCATTCGATCCTATGATTCCCGATGATCGTAACTCGCGACGCGAAATGGTTTTTCGAATTCCCCGTAACAATCGTCGACAGGGCTCTTTGTAACAACTATAAAACGCATGAGTTGTTGCTCAACCTGTCGGTGCACACGATGCAGCGACGCTGAAACGCCGAGGCGCTGACATTCGAGGATCGTGCAACCCGGCTTCGATCGCCATAAATCATCGGGTGTCTCTGACTTTTACACCGCGGCGATACTATTAGGTTACGTAACGAACAGTTTAATGCTTTATTGTGAACTTTTATCGCGCGAACCGGCGATTAATAGCGAGAGCGATCGTTAACAACTGGATCGATTAAAGAAGGTTGTTTTCCACTGCGATAACGAACGATCTCACGCATTAAGAACGTTACCGCGGCTCGATTAGTGTGTTTTACCCTTCGTATTCACCGGACCCTGTCCGATTTTCATTTATTTCGTCGAGGGATTCCCCGACCCGGAAAATCGTTCTTATTAATCTTACTTACCAGTTTACTGGCGAGGAAATAGTAGTTTTATTCATTTATTTATTTATTCGAGGGGGTAAATACCCTTTATGAAGAAGTGAGAAAAATAAGAAACACAATTGCGATTATGATTAACTTAAAATTTTTTATTGTTTCGTAAAAGAGTTAAGCCTTTGGTTTGCATACAATTTTGTGAAATTTATTGTGTATATTGAGTAAATTGATAACCAATAACCTAAAAATCGAAAAATAAGAATTGAAAAATAAGAATAACACTAGACACGTTCACTGTCTGTGACCCGTATGTGGGTCACTTCGCCATGGTATTGGATATGTCGCTGAGAGATCAGACAGTGAACGTGTTTTAATATTATTCTATAGTAATATTGCAACCTGAACAAACCCGTATAGCAATCGATAACCTAAAAATCGAAAAGTAAGAATTGAAAAATAAGTATAACACTAAAATATTTCATCGTTTCGTAAAAAAGTTAAGCCCTTGGTTTGCATACAATTTTGTAAAATTTATTGACTATATACATTGAGTGAAACAGGTTTTTAGGATCGGAGTAAATCGGTAACCCATAACCTAAAAATCGAAAAGTAAAAATTGAAAAATAAGTATAACATTAAACACGTTCGCTGTCTGTGACTCGTATATGGGTCACATCACCATGCTATTGGATATGTCGCTGAGAGATCGGACAGTGAACGTGTTTTAATATTATTCTATAGTAATATTGCAACCTGAACAAACCCATATATTAACCGATAACCTAAAAGTGGAAAAATAAGAATTGAAAAATAACTATAACACTAAAATTTTTCATCTTTTCGTAAAAAAGTTAGGCTCTTGGTTTGCATACAATTTTGTATAATTTATTGAGTATATTGAGTGAAACAGGTTTTCAGGATCGGAGTAAATCGGTAACCCATAACCTAAAAATCGAAAAGTAAAAATTGAAAAATAAGAATAATACTAGACACGATCGCTGTCTGTGACCCGTATATGGGTCACATCGCCATGGTATTGTATATGTCGTTGAGAGATCAGACAGTGAACGTGTAATATTGCAACCTGAACAAACCCATATAGTAACCGATAACCTAAAAGTCAAAAAATAAGAATTGAAAAATAACTATAACACTAAAATATTTCATCGTTTCGTAAAAAAGTTAAGCCCTTGGTTTGCATACAATTTTGTAAAATTTATTGACTATATACATTGAGTAAAACAGGTTTTTAGGATCGGAGTAAATCGGTAACCCATGACCTAAAAAATAAAAAAATAAGAATAACACTGAACACGTTCGCTGTCTGTGACCCGTATATGGGGCACATCGCCATGTTATTGGATATGTCGTTGAGAGATCGGACAGTGAACGTGTTTTAATATTATTCTATAGTAATATTGCAACCTGAAAAAACCCGTATAGTAACCGATAACATAAAAGTCGAAAAGTAAGAATTGGCTTCCAGAACGATTGCAATTGTCTAGATAATCGTAATAGGGTCGTTCATCGATGTTATAATTTCACCGGGGTTCGAAAAGTGGTCGCGAAATGTCCGATTGACCGAGTAGTGGATTGTTGCGCGTTATACAATATCGTCGAATGAGTTTCGCGGCAGCGAGTCACTCTTCGTCGCGGTTTCGATAAGCCTCGGCGATAAGGTTGTCGATAACTCGCGAACGAGCGTCGCGAATCGCGTCTCGGCGATGAAGCGTGACTCGCGACTGCAAAAAACACGACGATTCGACCGTTAATACCCTCCCCCGCGAAATGCCATACTCCCCCGACCGATCGGTGGCAAAATTTTAACGATTATTATTCTTTAACGATATTTGCAACCTGAACAATGTTTGTTACAAATAATTGTGTTTCGATTACCTTCTGCAATCTTCATCGGTAGCCATATTGGCAAACTCATAACCTAAAACACAAAAAGTAAGTATTCACCCAGACAAGGTGATTAAAAATTGCAAATGAGCACCAAAGCACACCATTATTACTATTTAAACACTAGCTCGCCAATATATTTACAAAAATAAGCTTCAAACTTTCCAAAATACTCAAACACATTAATAATTTAAACAATGGCAGATGCCTCTGGTGATTTTATTCATTTAATAAATAATAATCAAGATATTCGTAAATATGGAAATATATAAAATATAAAAGATTAATTATAATTTTTAGTTTAATAATATTAATAGGAATTTGAAATAGAATACAATAAAATTCTTATGAAATAGTCCAATTCCATTAGTTGCAAATGTAATCCAAGCTTCTCGATATAGTGGCTACACCCAAAAACAGTCTGCAAATAAAAAGAAAAATCCGACTCTCGGTCGAGGGAATAATATTCGTTAAAAAGGTTGCGTCGCGTTCCGTCGGGGATCGATCCATCGCGAAAGGTTAGGAACGCGGCAGAGCTTTGGTCCCGCCTACACGGGGATCTTATTCGTGGCCGCGATGGCCGCTATCACGTATCTCCGATTCCAGGCTGGGAGTCGCGCCTCGAAGGTGGAGACGCGACTGCGCTCTCTGTCCTCCTCTTCCGCCGTCTCCGTTCATCCTCCGCGACCCCTCCACTCCCCCCTCGTCCACCGTCCCTCCTCGTCCAGGACGTCGACGAACTCCTGGGCCCGCCACTGCCCGCCTTTCCGCCCCCCTCCCCCCCCCCCTCGGTTCCGAGAAACCATTCGATCTCTCCAACCGTCCGATCGCGAATCGGAATCGACCGTCTCCCTCGCACTCTCCCATCTTCCGAACGTTCTTTCCTCGCTAGTCCAACGTCCACTGCTCTTCTTCCCTCGGGATTTCAACGGTTCCTCCACGGTTCGCCCTTTGTGAGTTCGTAATAATTCGACACAAAGTATTGGATTTGCTTATAGGTTAGAAATCGTACGTTTGAATTTATCCGTTCCATAACTGCACAAAATATTAATCAAGTATCAATAGTAAATGCAGTATCAGTTCCGAGTTAGAGAGAATATACAGTAAGTAGAATATGAAAATCGTCGAGCAAAATTTCTGGCTCCAAAGTAGTCACAGACAAAGGCTGACCAAGATGGCTGACCCAGTACGAATCGTAACTCCTGCCACGTCTGATTTTTCTTCCCCCTTGCAATAGGCAGACACCTGTCTTCCTCGAGACGAAAAGTTAATCTTTTAATGAGTTTCTGAACTCTGCTAACGTTTTGTATAAATATCAACTCAATTGTTGCTTCAGAAACATGTGGCATCAAATTGTTGATCAACAAAACGTGATTCCTATTGCATTCCTTTAAACAAGGTTTCCTCCATTTTGTAACCCAGCCGACTAATTCGCAGACTCAGATAAATAAAGTGAATTTTTTCGAGCAGATGTCGCGGTTCTAGCTCTCGAGGAGGATGTTCCACGGGGGCGGAAGCGGTGGGTACGGTGCAAGTTCCGACTACCAGCAGCAGTCCCAGCAGCAACAACAGCAGCAACACGGCCAGCAGCTCCAGGCGCCCGTCTACGTGCCATCCTCGAGGCCGACCATTCCATCGGCGGCGACGGCGGCGGCGGCGGCTGCAGCGGCGGCCGCCCAATACCATTCGTTCCCCGGTTCCGGCTCGCCCGCCTGGTAAGCTCCTTCGACCCGAATCCAACGTTCCACGGTTCTTAGTGATGGGACTGAATGATACAGCAAAGATATAAACCCTTGCATACCGAGAATTATTAACCCTTTGCCTTGCGATTCACAATTTCCAACTGTACGTGCCAACAGCGACACCTAGGTTTGGTAGAACTAGACTTATCACGTCTCTAAGACGTATTATTCATTTTTGGTCCGGTAGACTTGTCACGTCTTATTCATGGTTGACCCGGTAGACTTATCACGGTCCCTGAGACGTCTTATATTCATTTTTGGCTCAGTAGATGACTTATCACGTCTCTGAGACGTCTTATATTCATTTTTGGCCCAGTAGACGACTTATCACGTCTCTGAGACGTCTTATTTACGTTTGTGGCCCGGTAGAGTTACCACATCTCTGAGAGACGTCTTATGCATTTTTGGCCCAGTAGACTTATCACGTCTCTGAGACGTTTTATTCATTTTTGACCCAGTAGACGACTTATCACGTCTCTGAATCGTCTTATATTCATTTTTGGCCCAATAGATGACTTATCACATCTCTGAGACGTCTTATTCATATTTGGCCCAGTAGACTTACCACGTCTCTGAGAGACGTCTTATTCATTTTTTGCCCGGTAGACTTACCACGTCTCTGAGAGACGTCTTATTCATTTTTTGCCCGGTAGAGTTATCACGTCTCAGAGACGCCATTGTAAGCTAAAGGGTTAAACCAGAGAGACGATAGGTGTTGCGACAATGCGCTGTCGACGTCCGTGTCAAATATCGCGATAGAGTCGAGTCCCGTCACTAACGATCATGGATTCGGACCAGTCGATTAACGTTCGATCGGTCGTCGAATCGAAAGGGAGAAGACAGCAGCTTCTTGGCAGCATGGAGTCGAGACGTACGCGGCCCACCACGCGCTCGCTGGCCACGCGAGCGGTTCCGCGTCCGCGGCCGCGGCTGCCGCAGCGGCAGCAGCGATGGGCCAACACTCTGGCCACGGTCATCCCCACGCCGGCCACCCTCACACAGGACACCCGCACTCGAGCCTCGCCGCTGCCGCGCCCTTCTACGCGCAGAACGTTGCCATGATGTCCTCCTGGCGCGCCTACGACGGAGCTGGATTTCAACGAGCATCGCCATACGGTTCGTTTATTACACGGGTTTCCCTTTTGAACCTCCAAATTAACCCTCTTACTGGTCGTATTCGTAATTTTGTGAGTTAACTCGTGGGAGAAGTGAGAAAGATCGTAGGAAAGCTGAAAAGTCAGAGTAAAGGTTTCCTAGCAAGCTCTGCCTCAGATGGCAGGGACATTGGTTAGTCTGGTCGAGGAGCGTATATATAGGAACGGAAGGGTTGGTCAGTTGCTTGCGAGAGAGACAAGGGTGCTGCCCTCTAGTGGCGAGTAAGGGAGGCGACGCTACAGCACAGATTTCCAATTGTTTATACTCTAATGCAAGATGGTGCAAAATGGTCTTACTATTGCTGTGATATAGATTCAAACTTCAGAGTTGCATACACCATACACTGTCGAGCTCATCAAAGCATCGAGGCCGACTTCGATTAACTCGAAACCTTCTTTTACAATTACCCGGGAGTCGAGGGTCTTTTAGACCTTAGAGAGGGTCCGCGTTTAGGAATAGATGATACATCGTGTGCCGTATCGTGGGAAGTCGCCACTTTTCTCTATCGTTTCTCTATCTTTGGATCGAAAGGATTGCTCTTGATGCTGTGGTGAGAGAGACAGAAGTCAGTGAGAACGAACCGATTCGTAGTAGCCTGGGCGTTAGACATTAACCAGACTGAAACGCGGCGGAAAAGCGGGCACGATTGCCGGACGATTAACAAAAAAAAGCTCCTTTTCTGGTCGACGAACGCGCCGCCACGCGGCGGGCCATCTGCGACGGATAAGCGATAGCGGCTTCTTTGAAACGTACGATACGACGTCGAGTGGTCCGACTCCGCCGCCGCCGCCGCTGCGGACGCGTTTCTTTTCCCACTCTTCCGGCCGCCTCGATGGCCGCTCGCGGTTCCGCTGCCACCAGACCCCTTCGAAACCTCGATTTTCAGAACTCGTTGTCGCGTTCAAGCTCAACATCCTCTTTCTCATTGTTAGAGAAAACAAAGTCAGCAAAATGGGTGACTTAAATTCTAATTTTACATGGACTTTGCTGTACCTTAATATTCTTGACATCGACCAGCAAGGAATGTCAATTTGACATGGGTCATATCCCAAGATTCGTCAAGCTAAAATTCTCAAATATAATCGAAGCTAGCAAGATGGCGACATAACCTTAAAGCCACACTTCGTGCCATGAGGACTTAAACAAAATTCGTCAAGCTAACATTCCCAAATATAATCGAAGCTAGCAAGACGATACATAACCTTAAAGCCACACTTCGTGCCATGAGGACTTAAACAAAATTCGTCAAGCTAACATTCCCAAATATAATCGAAGCTAGCAAGACGATACATAACCTTAAAGCCACATTTCGTGCCATGATGACTTAACCAAGATTCGTCAAGCTAACATTCCCAAATATAATCGAAGCTAGCAAGACGGATACATAACCTTATCCAATTTCACGTAAACCGGTGACAGTCGATAAAACGCGGTGGTATTGTTGCAGACACAGCGATGGACTTTCAGTTCGGCGAGGGGCGCGAGTGCGTGAACTGCGGCGCGATCTCTACGCCGCTGTGGAGACGGGACGGCACCGGTCACTATCTGTGCAACGCGTGCGGACTGTATCACAAGATGAACGGAATGAACAGACCGTTGATCAAGCCCTCGAAACGGCTGGTAAGTTGGTCGTCCGAGACGCGGTGCGGTCCGTGCTGGTGCGCGCGATCCGGAGGAGAAACGTCCAGTTCTCCGCTGTCCCCGCATCATCGAGTTTTCGCCGTAGACGGCGACTCGTCGCGCGATCCACGAATGGAACGGATGTTGGGATTTCAGACCGCGACCAGGCGGCTGGGACTGTGCTGCACGAATTGCGGGACCCGCACCACCACGCTCTGGAGGCGCAACAACGAGGGCGAGCCGGTCTGCAACGCGTGCGGCCTCTACTTCAAGCTGCACGGGGTGAACAGACCGCTGGCGATGCGGAAGGACGGCATACAAACGCGGAAACGCAAACCGAAAAAGACGCCCGAACCAAACGCCAGACCCACCGCCGGGGACCACGAGGCAACCGCCGTCTCGACCGCCTCCTCGCCGTCCAACGGTAAGCAAAACGATCACCCTTCCTCTTTTCCACGTACTCACGAGTCGATGGCATTCCTCGACAGCTTTGAAAGGCGATGCAACCATATTAAAAAGTGTTCACTATCACTTAGAATTAGTAAGTTACTACTAACCCAGACCTAACCTTAAGATACTGAGGTACTAAGCCAGACCTAACCTAAAGGTACTGAGATACTAACGCAGACCTAACCTAAAGGTACTGAGATACTAAGCCAGACCTAACCTAAAGATACTGAGATACTAACCCAGACCTAACCTAAAGATACTGAGGTACTAACCCAGAACTAACCTAAAAATACTGAGATACTAAGCCAGACCTAACCTAAAGATACTGAGGTACTAAGCCAGACCTAACCTAAAGATACTGAGGTACTAAGCCAGACCTAACCTAAAGATACTGAGATATTAACCCAGACCTAACCTAAAGGTACTGAGGTACTAACCCAGACCTAACCTAAAGATACTGAGATTCTGACCCAGACCTAACCTAAAAAAGAATTCGATTAAACGCTTTGGAGAGATACACCTGATACTCTCAACCGTACACCGTTCTGCTTTCGTGATTCTTAGAACTGAAGAGCAGCCAGCAGCAGCAGCAGCAACAACAACAACAGCAACAACATCAGCAACAGCAGCAGCAGCAGCATCAGCAGCAACAGCAGCATCAAATCGAGGCGTCGAAGTCGTCGGGGGGCGCGTCCAGCTCGACGGACAGACCCGTCTACTTGGGGCACACGTCGCTGCTGGCGACCGGAAGCGTGGCTACGGTGAAGACGGAGCCCCGGAGCTGCGACGGTATCGTCGGGCAACCCTATTCCTCGTACTACCAGCATCATCCCCATCAGCTGGGCGTGTCGACCAGCGAGCACCAGCAACAGACTTATTACGGGAGCCAGGAGGCGCCCTATCATCATCAGCATCACGTGACGGCGGCCGCAAAACTGTTGGCGTCCTCGTAACTCGGTCCACGAGACACCCGCGAGACGAAACGATAATTAAAAACGATGTATCGAATGTGCTGGAGACGGGGAACGTCGGTAGTGCAAGCGTACAGAAAAGATATTCGTTATTATCGACGACGACCGAGTATCGGGGACTTTTACGCGTCGAATTTTCGAATTGTTCGAATACCATTCGAGTACTGTACTGCGCCGACGCTAATACCGTTCGAATAGCTGACTATTTTTGGTGCTCGAATACCGCTCGAATAATTGACTGTTTGAATACCGTTCGGATACTTGATTGTTTGAATGCTATTAGAATGCTATTCGTGTGTTCGAGTACCGTTCGAATGCTACTCGAATACATCACCGTTTGAATAATATTTAAACAATGCTCGAACGATTGACTGTTCGAACGCTGTTGGAATACTTGACCGTTTGAATGATGTTCGAATACTCGATCGTTCGGATGTTATTAGAATACTTGGCTGTTCGAATACTGTTCGAACGCTTGACTGTTTGAATACCGTTCGAATACCTGACGATTTGAATGCTGTTCGAATTCTTGATTATTTTAATACTGTTCGAATATTTGACCATTTGAGTACTATTCGAATACAGTGGGTCCTCGACTCACGCGGTTAATTCGCTCCATAGGTTTCCGCGCAAGTCGAATTGTATATAGAGGATTATTTCACGCAAGCAAATTGTATCTTTGACAGGATTGATCATTGACAGGACTGGATCTTTCGTTTCTCCTTGCAAATACATTTAGAGTACAATCATCGTTGCAAAAGCGAATGGAAGTTCAACGTTTCGACGTGTACTTGTTAACACATTGACTGCCACAAATTTTCACTGATGAGGTAAAAAAAATAAATCTTGATTGGACACTGAAATTTTAAAGAGCCTGTAAAGATACAGTTCCACGACAAATTGTTTCCAGTTTTCAATTGTCCAGAAAGAGTATCGTTATTCGTAGACAATTTGAAGCGTTTGGGTGTGGCAGTCAACGTGTTGAAAGAAAAATTGGGGGAATAAAATCATTATTTAATGTGTAAATACATAAATAGATACGTAATGAGTATGTGTTAGGGCGTAAGGTAGGGTGCATCCACGAATCTGCCGAATCCGCGTAATTCGAGGTCTCGCTGTACTTTGAGTATTCGAATATTTTATGCGCCGATCCAGTATCTGGATATTCCTAGTATCTGAATAGTGCGACCATCGAGATCATTCACTCTTTCGAGCCTGTATTTTAACCCTTTCCGTCCCAAATTAATTATCGCAATAAACACGTTTCACCTGAAAGTATTAGCTATCAAATGCTATTTATTATATCTTCAGGCGTTAATGCAAAATTATCAAGTTTAAAATTAAAGATGGAGCCATTTGGGACGGAAAGGTTTACAAACAGTTTTCATCGGAGCTTTGTTAAGCGACAACTCCTAACCATATCTCGTATAATTGTAAATTTATTACCATTCGACGCTACTTAACGACTATAAAGACAAAAATTGAAGTGCACGAGCAAGGAAAACAAGATGGAGGATTTTCCAACCTAACCTTAAAACCGTACGGTGTAAAATATATCGAGGCAGATCGTTGCATAGTTTCATAAGTTATACATGCATGCATAACACACATGTACGAATATATATTATAGATCACAGAATTATCGATTTAAAAAATTTCTATGTACACATACAGAGTACTGTCCACTTGAATAGCCTCGCCTGTTTTTTTCTCTTTTTTTTTTTTGTAATAAATTGTAGATACGAATACGAAAAATAAAGACTTCCTATTTCTATTTATAATATACAATTATGGTGAACTCGCGGAAAATGGATGCCTTGTCGACAGAGTCGCTTCGTAACGTTAGAATAATTCGTTATTTATTCGAATACTCAAATACTCGAGGCGAGCGCAGAGAGGGGCAAAATTCGGTTCGAGCAACGAATATTTACCAGCAAGCTAGTTATGGCTAGTAAATTTTCAATTCTGTCTTCGTTGAATTTTGCCCATTTCTGGTTGTAGCTACAAAGAGACGATTATAGCGGGTTGGAGGATTAGGGAGGACGTGGAACCGAGTAATCTTATTTAGCTCGAACGAGTTTCGTCGTGGATCGATCGGTCCCCTGTACAGTTCCTGTATAATTAGTGTTTGCGACGCGCAATAAAGAGAACAGCTTTCGATATCACGGCTTGTCACGAATCACGCGAAACGTCCCGACAGCCCCTCTCGAGCTGTCGCGATTCCTTCGTGGAACGGATCGCCTCGCGCCTCGTCACTGCCCCGTGCAAATATTATCACACGGCGGTCCGACGACCCAAGTGACACTCGCGCGCGTCAAACCCAACCCCCCGTCTGTCCGTCTCTCGACCTCGCTGCTCGTCGATAAACCAAACCTACCCTCGCGATCGCCTCGACACCTTGGTCTCAGTCTCCGTTCTTCGCTGGACGACGCGACACCTCGTTTAACCGACGACTCTCACTCCGGTCTTCGCCCTCGATCCTCCACCAACGACCTTTGATAGATTGGCCACGACTGACCAAGAAATTTGCAAGAAAATGGGTGAGTACCAGAGATCCGTGGCTTTAACACTAGATTCACGGAAGCCGTCAATTGTGACGGATGTCAGATTCCATATTTAACACTTTGGCTGCCACGTCACCCATACAGGGTGGGGCATTTTAAACAGGTCACCTGAATAACTTGCTTGCTTTTGAAGATAGGAGAAAATGCATTAGACCAAACTTACTTGATATCGGGGGGGGGGCTCATAATCTGGTACTACCAATTTTTCTGTTGGTGGAGGCGTCAAGGAGATATGAAGGTCAACTCTGGTTTTTTTTAAATAGAACAGTATATTGTTTTACTTACATTCTGATAAAATGTTTCAAGGTGAATACAATGACTTATTATTAAGGTCATTCAAGGTCACCCAAAGTCAACTGCAATAGAAAATAAATTGTCTCAAAGCACTCCTCGAACACTTGGATACTTTGGCACTGCTACTACAAGTGTTCAAAATGGCGACCTTGAACATGGATACATAGTCTAAATCGTTGCAATAGTGATGACACTACCTGGCAAATTTCATTTGTATCTATTACAGAGCAAGCTCTTCTTATATGTACGTTCTTGCATGCCAAGTTTGGTAGTTGGTTTCTCGCCGTACACTTCTGCCTTTAATTTTCCCCACAAATAAAAATTGAGAGGTGTCAGGTCGATCAGGAAGTAACAAATGGCCGGCACGATCCCCAGACCTGTCAACCTCTCGATTTTTAATTTGTGGGGAAAATTAAAGGCAGAGGTGTACCGCGAAAATACTAACCTGCACATTCCCAACTTATACCTGCGAATTGTCTACCATGAATATATTATGTTCATGAAAAACAACTGATCCATTAGCGATTTCGCCCTGGGCATTTGGAACAGGGCCCATGCGGCAAACGCAGGCCCAACACGGCACTGAAATGAAGGTGGTGGGGCACATTTGCCGTCCCAATCTGCTAGAGTATCGCTTACACCCCTCGGTTTTTCCTCAGGTGCCTACCCGAGGTCCCTCGGGCCGGATGGGCTTTTACTACCGGTTTCTTTTGTTCAAAACCGCAAAATCTCGAAGTTTGAGGCCATTTTTCGACATTATCCCATCTGATATCGAAGTTAAAAATGGTATCAGTCGATTCGCCTTGGCAAGACCTTTCCAACGGTGTATAGCATATGCTGTACGCTCTTGGGTCAGTAAACCCCTCTATGACTTAACATTGTCCTTTGATCTTTCGACTGATTTCGAAACAGGAAGGACGCTTCCCACGCCAGTGGCTTGCAAGGTTTGCGGCGATCGTTCCTACGGGAAACATTACGGGGTCTATTGCTGCGACGGTTGCTCGTGCTTCTTCAAACGATCCGTGCGTCGTGGCGCCCTCTTCACCTGCATAGGTGCGAACACTTTGTTTCTCCTCGAATTCGCGACTGCCTCGTGTCTGATCCACCGGAGAATTTCACCACTTAAAAACGAAATAAATTCGTTGAAGTAGTCATTTTTATAATTTTCAGGTTATTTAGCTCTGCTCGTCCATAGTTATTGGAGGTTAATTAAATGTAGTACTTCAAGAGTGAAACTCTCGAGTGGATATTCAGACATCGATGGCTCGCGTCGTGTAGTTTCTGACCCTCTTGCTTCCGGTTCCAGCCGGCGCAGGGACGTGCGCCATCGACAAAGCCAGACGCAACTGGTGCCCTCACTGTCGCCTAAAGAAATGCTTCACCGTGGGCATGAACACTGCAGGTGAGAAAACGACACAAAAACCGACAGAAAATATATCACCAATTCACAAAATTGATCGCAAGATAGTGTCCAGTATTTTTTAGAATACTCAAAACCGGATGTATAGAACACCCATACATAGTTTAACGTACTACTTATAATAGAGCTTGCTCTCCGTCCTGTTTCGGATCGAAGAATCACGCGCGTCACAGCGGCTAACAAGCGAAACGAGATGCAAACAATGGCGCGTGTCCAGCACACGGCAGTCACCCTTCGGTGCTCGGGCGAGCTCGACGCCGTCAATTATTTTTAGCTGAGAGTAGCGATAGCACCGACAGTGAATCTCGTTTCGAAGCTTTTATTCCGCATTCGGGAGCTCGTGGACGGAAATGTACAAACACATCTAACCAAAAAGTAACCGATGCAATGTAGGTTCGCGAGTAAAGTTGCTTCGCTGGAATTGTCGAAAGTGTTTCGTTTCCCTAGCGGTGCAGGAAGAACGAGGACCACGCGTTCGAAACAGAATCGCAGCGATGATCGACAGCGATTCCAGGGTCGCGTGGGACCCGAGCAACGATCCTGGACGAAAGTGTCTCTCGTCCGAGTCGACGACCGTGGCTCCCTCGCGCGAATCTGAAATAGGATCGACGATCTATCGCACCGATGGCGTCGGTACGAGCAGCTTCTTTTTCTCCTCGATGTCGAATCCAGCTCGAGCATCGAGGATCATAGCCGCTGGTACAGACGAAGAATTTTGAACGTAATAATTTAGGGTCAGGGTTGAGTAAGGGTTGGTTAACGGTTGTTCGCAGGGCCAACGATGCGATACGAGATCGCTGCCCAGATATTTCTCGCGACCGTGCGTGCAGCTCGACAGCATCGCGAGTTCTCGATGCTCGACGTCGACGAGCAGAATCGGATTTTACGAAGAGGGTGGGCGGCGGCGTTCCTCCTGCGGGCCGCGATCTGGCCGATCGATCTCTCGAACTTTCGAAAACGAGACGCGTCGACCGGGAACGACACCGCCACCGCTTACGGCGCCCTCGTCGCTGCACGGTCCACCATCTTGAAACTGCGCCTCGATCGAATCGAGATATCGATTCTGGAGACTCTGATTCTCTGCCGACCTGGTAAATGCCCTGCGTCGCGTAATAATCAACCCCTTGCACTCTCGTATATATTTATACTATATATTTATAATATATTTATAATATATATTTCACCACAAAATTGCATCGATATTGCTGGATGTTCGTGTTAATAAAAATCGTAGTGGGAAGGGTTAACTGATTTCGATTAGTCAAACTTCGTGGTATACGATTGTTTTCATATTTTTTCAGTGAAACTGTCACAGTAAGAAATTAAGAAATCTTAATATTCCGATTATCGTTACTATTTCTTTGCTGTAACATTGGTTACAAAATTAAGGTATAACCTCTATCGTGGGACGACGAGCTATTTAATTTTGTAAAAGAAGGTTCCCTAAACTATGAATTTTGAAAATTTCATACGAGCTTCGAATGCCCCGACCTGCATCACCTCTCGTTGATAAAATAGTTTTCCAATTCTGATAATATCGAGCATAGCGGACTGCGCATGCGCCAGGAAGGTGTCCCGTTTTGAAAAAGTCGAAACAAAAATATGAAAACAATCTGCAGTTCTCGATGAAGCTGATCATGTCACGGTACGAGTTAAGCTGTTCGTTCTCGAAATCCAGAGATCGCTGAGACGACGAATGGCATCCGTCTGACGTCTCAAGCAACGGACACCGCCGTGGAGACTCTGGTTCGCCATCTGGATGCTCGTGCCGAACGACGTTCGCCCAGATTGGCCAGGATCATGCTTGTACTTCCGATTCTGACCGCTTGCTGTCCACGGGAATTGGCGGGAGATCTTTTCGCGCCAATTATCGGGGACGTCGATCTCGAACGAGTGATCGCGTCCGTACGCTGACTCGATCGTTGCGTAAACACAATCTCGCGAATGGTAATTTAGTTACAACGTAACATCGCTATAAAGAGACACGCAAGAACTCGTTTTTAACGGTACTTGTTAAAAAAGAGGTATATTCATCTAGATGTCCACTTCGTGTATGCGAACATAACCTAACAACTCTTGGGTATATTCCTAACAAACGAACCGTTCACCAATCGGGGTGAATTATACGTAATTCGATTCGTTTAATTCAATACATTATTAATATGCATTTCATTATTTTTTTATGAACTTGTAAAGTTACAGTAAAAAAGTAGGGTTAGGTATATTTCGACAGATTCACAGGTGGAAATTATTGACTGTACTCTGTTCAAAATGCCAGGTAGTCGAATGCTGATTTGTTAAACATGTATCGAATGAAATTTCTGCTATTTCTGCTAATATTTCCTGTTAGGTACATTGATTAAATTCGTAATGGCTCAGATGTCCAATAAAGTTACTCTTCTTGAAAATATAAAATATTGATAGTATTGTATGTTATAAAAAAAGATTAAAAAATGTGTGTCATGCCTCCGAGTGGTTTCAATGTAATTCGTGTAAGCATCAGTAATGGAATCTTAAAAATTGACGCTGTGATTAATTTTCAAATGGCCTCTGTGATATTTTCTACGACAAAATGTCGACAATCTTCTCTACCCTTCCAATTGCTGTACAGTATTTTTATTTTATTTTTAGTTAATAATATGACATTGCTCATAATTATATGTTAATTTTAAGACATCTGTAACTCGGTTTGCTTTTAGAAAACCACGTTCTTTGCTTTGCAAATATCTTTATATTACGTCTCTTACGTTTAGTTGGATTGGTCCGTTTGCTAGGAATGTTCCAACTCTTCCAATCCCTAAACGAAGAACGTGAACATGATCGAAGATCCACAGGGAAGTATTTTCTTTGGCACTTTATTGACGCAAATGTAACAATTTTACGGAATACAGTATGTACAATTACTTAAAGTAATATGGCGCATCAGAGAACAGGACGAGAACGTAAACGGAAACGAGACGTTCGCGAGACGCACCAGGATTTTCGGTTAGTTTCTTCGCCGTTGTGCTCGCGAACGTTCGTTTCCTTTTACGTTAACTTCGAGGATGGTTGCACGGATATCGGCGGAATCGCCGACACACACACACACTGGCGGGTAAAAAATGTTACAAAACAAACAAAAAAGAAAGATTGAAAATAAACAAATAATATGCACCTACGCGATACTCGCTGAGGCTCCACGCAATGGGTATTAGTAATAAATTAAAGTACTTATACGTAGAAATGCTGTAATGTATAAAATGCCACTCGAGATAATTTCGCTGTAACGCGAGAAACTGCGAATGAACGATCGTCGTTGAGCGTTCGTAGTTTATGTTTGAATTTGCATTGTTTCCACGCTGTGCTATTGGAACCAATGATGGACATTCGAGGGAATTTTCTGCGCATGCGAAAGCTGACGTCAGAGCTAGCTGTTATCTGCTACCATAGATGTATCTTTAGCGCAAAAAGAGGTGCATTTTGGGAACTTCTGTTTTGTACAAAATTGAACTTTCTACTTCAAATGCTCGCCAATCGCACAAAAATTAACTTATCCAAGATCCCCTACGTATTTCTCCAGCTATACTCGTGTAGATTAAGAGGAAATTTTTTGTTTTTGTCTCTTTCCCTGTAACTTCCTTAAATTTTGTTCCTTACTGGGATCCAACGGTACCCAAAATTCTAGTTAACCCCTTAACGCTCATGCTCGAGTCTGACTGCTTTGAAAAACGATATTTGTTTAATTTGATGCTTTAAGGGATGACTATATTTGTTTTCCTTCAAGTTATACACTAGATACAACATTGCAATGAACAAAAATAATTATTCAATTGTAATGAATAAAGAAAACTGATCATTCTTGGTCAATCTGAGAAATAACGGCAATGACCATGCGCTCCATTGCGCATGACCAAACTTCCCACGAATCTCCATCACCGATTGGAACGCGACGGACACGTTTGCGCCTGCGCGTTCGAACGACGTCCAAAATGGAGAATAATTACGAACGCACCGTGTTGCACCTCGAGACATGCAACACCACGATATTTAATTAGATTATGGTAATCATCACCGGACTCGCGGGATGTCTCACGCAGGGATGGGCAAATTGTATTTAAAAAAAAAAGTATTCGTATCACAAGTTACAAATTTATATTCCGTTTGCAATCGAATGCTCCGTGCACTTTATAAATCATCGATTTAAACATTTTATTACGCAACAGAATTTAAGGGGTTCTTAAAATTCATCGAATACATTCCCTGAAAACAAAAATTAACGAAACCCTAAATTCGTAAATTCATTAAAAGATTCATGAATGTTTATAAAAGTAATAAAAAAAATTCATACATTTATAAATCGTTTACGAGCGAATAACGTAATTTGTAAATGTTTAAAAAAATCTATGCTGTTCTCGATGTTCATCTGTTCATAAAAAAAAAAAAATTGAAATATAAACTCTTAATTATCATATAGAAGCGATCCGAGGCGATAATGTATTTTTTATTCATCGATGGAACCGAATACAAAGTAATGTATTCGATACTCGACGATGCATCCCAATACAAATTACACGAGTATTTAATATTCAACAGCAGGAACGTGTACAAAATACGAACGAACGTTGATCGTTACGAAACTCGATGTATCAAGTTGTTCATCGCCATTGAACACATGTATTTTAGATGTATTTCAATAACAAAATTATTTAAATATGCCCATCCCTGGTCTCGTACAAGGCACCACAAAATCTAGGCACTTGCGTACGTCAGCGATCATCGTGATCGACCGGACGTGAATTAAAAACGTTTACGAAACTAATCGATCGAGCATGGCGCTCCATCTGAAAACTGCACCATTGTCGGAAACTAACCAAGAAAATGTCGCGCGACAGATCCCCGTCATCAATACTTTTTCTTGTATTTTCGATACCTTTCCTCCACGGACTGTCTGTGCATCTGATTTATAAGATCGTTCGGTACGTACCACAGTTTCTCCGCGTTGCTGAGGAGAGCCTCCGTCACCTGACAGCAAACGGCGGCCATATTGACCTGAGCGGTAAGATCGGTTCGATCGCGGGGATGAACGTACCGCGGTGGAAACAGGGACGGTGCCACTATCATCGCTACGTTATGGATCGACATTTTGTTTGACGCTTGGTTCTCGACGACCACGTTCAAGAACGTCACTAACGCTTTCAAGGTACAACGATGCTCTATTGGTAGCAGTAGCACCAGCAAATTCAAAGAGTACGACAACTCTTGGCGATCCTTCACTACTAAACAACGGGGAAAAAGAACAACGCGTAAGAATTTATTCATCGTTCGTTCGAGCACAGACGAGGTATACGAGTACATCTTTCACCTTACGGACTTTCGTGGCCCAATCTGACTGCCATACCTCAACATTCGGAGGTGACTTTAGCGACCTCTTCTCACGGAGGCGGTCAGTTGAGAAACTATTCACTGAGTACTTATGGGCAGACAGCTGTAGTAATTTTCAAACGACCATAATTGCTACAATATTGAATGTATTTCATTGAACTTTATTTCTGAAGTAGAGCTCATGGATACCTACAGAAAAGTATTAGACAACTTTTCTATAGGGCGTCAAACAAAATGACTAAAAATCATAAACGAATTTTTATGAAACATCGACAGGAAGTAGATGCCTAAATTTTTTCGACGAAAGACAAATTTTAAATCGTTCAATATTTTTGGTCAATAGACATACCCTCGAAATCCTAACCATTTTCGAGAAAAAAATTCTCTTTTCTTCATCTCTTGTGTTCGTTTGTATAACGTGTTGGTAAAGTTGCGAGTGACACGAAAATGGTAATGGGACTCCAGAGCCCCATAAAAATACATTGAACGTAAGATCTACTCGTATACCTCGTCCGTGGTTCGAGTATAGTTTACTTACCATGACTTTGGTAGAAAGCGTCGATAAGCTCGATGGTGAGCAACGGTTGCGGCAGATCGCGGACCAATTTTTTTAAAACCGCCGACAAGTCGTGAGTCGACATGCGCTTGAACAACCTATCCATCTCTTTGGGTTTGCTATAGAAATCCGTTTCCAACTGCGTGCATATCGCCTCGACCTGGACACACAACCAGCCCAACAGAATTTATTCGAAGGGAACGAAACACGCAACGACCGACCGGATGTCGCGACGATTACTTTAAAAACGCGTACGTACTTTCTGTTTGTGTCCCCCGACGCGAAGAATTCCCTCCTCCTTCACGCCGCGTCTCGTCAATTCGCTAAGAATCTTTTGGAACGCTAGCGGTATATTGCTCTCCTCGGACGTCAACTGGCTATCGCGAAGCAACAGAGTCGATAACGAAGCGCCGAATAAGTTCCCAGCTACGAACACAGTAACGTTAATCGCGTGACAAGGTCTATGCTCGGTGATCTCCGATCATCGATCGTCTATGCGAACCTTTCGTTCGACGTTTATTCGGTTTACGTTTCTTCAACGGTACGTTATATTTATCGAAGACTGCGGTCAACTCGAGCCACAATAGTGGCTGCAACCTGGTCAGATCTCGTTGCGACAACATTTCGACCCCTATCCGCCTCTCTGCGTCGTCCGACGCGTGAGTTTTCGCCGCCCATGGCTGCGACCTTACTTCGTTCGCTCTGCACACTTCCTCGAAACTCAAATGCCCATGGGACGACGTGCGATTCAGAGGATGCGTTATCAGACCCTCGTCAGCCGGTCTCGTCAAACCGTACAAGCTGCTGTGGCTTCGAGTAACCGTCGCGTGACCGCCAGAGTTTCTCCTAAAAGAAGAGAGAGTAGAGAGTAACATGACCGCAAACCTGACAATTCGACGTACGTGAAATATTTCAGCGTCTACCTTAACGTCGAATCCTTGGATATGTTCAACTTTTCGATGGACTCGTTGCCCAAACTCGTGTTCGCCACTTCGCTGGGATCGCTGCCGCTACGCCTTTGTATAGTCGGCCTCGAAACGTGTATAGTTCCTAACCTGTGATATCCTGTTAGCTGAATACCTTCTGCAATTGAACGTATCGTTTGCGTGGATCGAGTTCCACCTACAGTGGCTCACAATCAAAATGTGCCCGCCCAATGATTTTTAGAATAAACGATATACAAACACGTTACGTTGCGATTCTAAAATCACCGTGCGGCCGATTTCGACTACGAATCACCGTAATTAAATTCCGTTACGAGCTATACGATGGTCCCAGTACCTGAATCGTTCGCGACGTCTCCGCGCAACCAGTTCCCAGCGCGTCTGAAGATCTCTTGAACGGGCAATGGCGTCGGCGGTGGACCTGGCGCCGTGTGCGCGGTCGTCGACGGCGCACTGGGTGTTCTGCGCACCGTTTCTTTACCCTCGTTCGATGCTCGCTGAAATACCGACACGAAGTTCGGTACGGCGGTGCTTTGGAAAAGAAAGGATAATTATTTACCTAAAACACAATCGAAGAGAAAGGTCATCGAGTTTCTTAGTATAAAAAGAAGCCATACGCGATAATAAGTAATATTATACAAGGTCTTGGCTCTGCTACTTAACCTTGTCAGTCTTATCTACCTAATCCTACTTTAAACATGGCGATAATTTATCGTTTAAACATCCTGTTCAAATTAATTATCTACTAACAAACCAGCGAGTGCAGACTGTTAAAAGGATTAATAGTATCGTATTCAACGCAAGGTCTGTTGCATAAGTTTTACCGACGAGTTTTATCTGTTGAACCAGCAGACCCATTATTATTATGCTTTGTACTAGTATCATTAAACTTGCAACATAATTCGTTGTTTAAATATATTGTAGCAAAGGTAATTACGTTCGATGACCTTGCTTCTTAGCATGTTTCAAGATCATTGAAGACTGTGTAATATCGTCGAAGCGCGGGATTCTTACTTTGTATAATGCGTGTCGACAACGGCGACCGTCGATGGCGATGGTGGCGAGGCATTCTCTGGCGTCGCACCTGGAATGGAATCTAAAGAATCAGGCGTAGCGCTACGCGACCTTGTCCCCGTACTGGACGCCTAAGGTAGTAACAAGAAACAATTTACTGCTTGGTCGTTTAGTCTTGCGACATCGCGTCGCTCGTGATCCGTACCTCCACGTCTTTAAAGACGTCTCGAATGTCTGGCTTGCGAACCCGCTGTCGCTGATTAAAACGCTGTTTCACGGTGTGATTAAGAGATCTAACGCGACGTTTCACCGCCTCCGCTTGCGCTCGCGATAAGGGACGCAGTGCAGCCCCCAGTTCTTCCGGTTGCACTTCCTGTCCGGCTTTCCATGCTTCGGTCAGCTGCCCCAGCCCGGCTGTACGCAACCATTCCGCCTCTTCTTCTCCATCTAAAACCACGAATGTTCATTGTTCTTTGAAACGATTATTGCCAAGTTAAAGTCAATGGTAACAAAGATAACTACCATCGTAGGTACGTGGACACTCCTCTTCGAGATAGTTGTCCAAGAGCTTCCATTCCTCCCAATAATCTAGCAGGTTATTATCACCATCTACGTATGCACCTTCTCCCTGCTGCCTCTCCATAGTTTCCAAAATATCGTTCCTCGAGCCTGGACAACTTAGATTCGCAATTTAGAAGCAGTTCTCATCGATGTCTGAAATAATGGTATCTTGATGTTAGTTTTTAAGTCACCTTAAATCCGTCTGACGCGGTACCTTTTGTTCCCGATCTATCAACGATAATTCGGGAAGATAAAAGCGCAAATAGCCACGCGTACGTGACGCACGACGATGTCCACGGGAACAGTGGTAGGAATCTTTGGCACGATAATCTATTTAAGCGATGATCGATCTCCGGGAATTGATAATCATTTTTCCAAAGTAGGACACAAATCGAATTAACATACGCATCGCCTCGAGGAAGCATCACTGACACGATTAAACAACGACGGTGCAGAGAAGTCGCGCGAAACGCAAACAAATAAATATTGAAATAAATTCCAACGGCGTGCCGAGATAAATGCATAATTTCCATATCAAATAAATGCGAGCCAGCGAGCGCGTGCAAACCCACAGCTGCACGCACGTAATCTCGTTGCACGAAACGGATATACAACGAATCCGGGGGGGGGAAAAAGAAACTTTACGTGCCTAACCTCCTCGTAGTAAACCGTTCGACGCGCGAAACGAAATTAACGAGGGATCCGTGAATGAAGCGGATACGTACCTTTCCGGACAGGCTTGTTCCGTGTGTGGTATACGAACGTCTGCGCGATCATCTTATTCCCAAAATAAATTCTAAATTGGCGACGGACCGACGTAGCACGACACTCGGAACAGCACACGCACAAAGGAAGCGCCCGGATCCGTGATACGATTATTTTTCACGAGACTGACAGATTTACGCGCGAACAATATTTCGAGGCTATCCACTACTTCCGAGAACTAATATATTCCGTGCGTGCCTTCGAATCGCGCCCATCGTGAGCGAGACCGCCGATTCGTCGACCTAAATACGACATAACGAGCCTGCCTCGGAAGTGCGACGAACAAATTCGCGTCTTTGCGTAACTCCCGCTTCTCCGGGCTTAGCTTACGTCGAGAATAGATAAAAAAAAAAAGGAAGGAGGTGAGAACGTGTTCTCGCGACTCCGCAACCTGTTGCTGACGCATATACGACTCCCACCTGTATCTGTATTACACTGATTCACGTTATTGTTGTTTTCAAGCTGACACCTGCGCCTCTCGTTTTTTAGGCGACAACACGTCGGTTAACGCGCAACACCACCAGATGGCCACGAATCACGATTGATTCGTATCACACAAACGTTATCATTTACGAAAGATCGAACTGCACGTAGATTTATTCTTTGTTAGAAACTTGCGAGATAGAATTTGATAATTTGCTAATTATTATAGATACAAAATTCTCAGTCTGGTATTTCTACTCCTAAAGCTTCGCCCTCGACGATAAAATGCCCGAGTTTGTCAAGAAACAGTACTCTATTACTATCGTTAGAAGATACCGCAATCTTTTGCTTTCAAAACTAGTTCGCTGTCTTCGAGGCTAGATGGCACTTCAAGCATGCGCGATAAAAAATTGTTATTGCGTTGAGACCAGAAATGAGATTTTTACGGAGATATCCGTCCCGAATCTAAGTTACACACTTGAAAAAAGATGAAAATCATCAGCCTGTAAAAAATGTATAACTTTTTTTCTTTTATTTAGAATTATTACACAATCTTGATATTATAATTGTTAACAAAAGGCAACCTCCGAACGAGAACGCATGCGCATTACGAGTATGTATAATGATCCGAAAAGGAATTCGTGAAATTCGTATAATGACTACACAATCCAAAGATACGTGAACTCGTGTAACCATTATACGTTTAACTTCGATTAGCACGATTACCCCATCCGCGTCTATGCGTATCTTTATATTCGTCCATGGCACGTAACTGTCTCAACATCTCGGGATTTTCATCTTCGAGCAATTCTTCCTTTTTAATATCGTCAACATCGTCATCGTTCGTACCGCTGCTTGCCATATCTTGTAAGGACTTGGCATTCATTTGATTTCGTTTCGAAGGATCCGGCCAGCTTTAAGGGACACATTTGAAGAGTTAAAATACATCGATGGAAGCAATTATATGGTTCCAGTTCTTCTATACTTACTCTCCGTCTCTCACTCGTTGCTCGTAAAATTCTTGAACAGTAAAAATAGGCAAACTAGGGTAACCAGCTCCGTATACTTTCTTTTGAGCTTCGTCTCTAGTGATGACTATTGGTTGCAATTTTTGAGCAGGTGGTTTACGCTTTTCCGAAGCTTGTGAAGCCATAGTTTCGGATTTTCCCGTTTTTTTCATGTGCTCCAGAATTGGTTTCTCCGCCGCTAACGAGCTTAGTTCCTCTAATGTCAAATTTACATACAATTTTATGAGAGCTACAAAATATTCCCTCTTCACTTCATCGTCTATGTTTGGATTCGACATATTCCTTTGAAGAACCGATAAACTTGATTCTAATTCCTTTTGCTCCTTGTACCTCTCTAATTTTGTATTTCTTCTACATACCTACGAAGTACCAAACGGTCAAACATTTTTTGGAAGCTCCTTTCTCGACGATTAAGTGTAAATAATAAACATACCATTTCTGTAACTAATTCTACGTTTGATTTAACTCTCCTCGAAGCGATTTCTTTCTCGTTGTCTGATTTAATATCCGGTATATCAATGGTAGTCAAACCATAACTTTTAACACGTTTCAGAAAATCCACAAAATAAATCTCAGCCACGTTAACAATGTGCATTCTGTCGTTGGTATTACAAGAAAGTTTTGTGGCTAGCTTGCCGAGGAATGCTGGCAGCAAGAAATACTTTATGTTTTCTGTAGCGACTTCTTCGAAACCTTCATTGTGACTAAACATATCCACGATGGAGACCAGTTTCGTACAATCTTCTAACATACTCATGGCCCGTCTAATGTCGGACTATTGTAAAACAATAAAATAAAATAATTTTAATTGAAATCGTTAAAGGCGAAAAAGGATTTAGGCGCAAAACAATACCTGAACTTTTGTACTGTTCGTGGATTCCTCTGTTTTATTTATTTCGTTAAAAAGTTCGAACGCTTTGTCGAATAATTCCGACAACGTTGCCGTATCTTTCGCATCGTTTTCTAAACTCAACGATGTTTCCTCTGACATGTTCAATATTTTGGCAGATTACTTTCCCGGTACTTGCAAAATGACACTATTCCACACAAAACAAATCTTATCAAAGGTTATGGACACTGAGAATCATTGGTTCATTCGGCTCGAGGGGAATCAGTGAATCAGTGTTACCAGACGGCAGACAGATGCCACAGCCAAAGAAACTACCTCTCCACTTACGTACACACGGTACACTGATGCACAGCCGCAAGTAGGTACGTGAGCTTCGGTACTTCGGGTAGCTTCGGGCAGCTTCGGGTATTCGAGAAAGAAGGCGAATATGAGCTTTTCCTTCTCGCTCTCGATACAGCTGAAATTCAACTTGCGTCAACTGGCATACAATTTCGAGTCTCGACCGCCCACGCATTTTTATTTTTCGATCTACGTACGTATACTTATTACTCCACAAACGAGGTACAAAATAGACCTATCTAAAAGATAGAAACTTATAAAGATAAAAATGAAAATAAATCGACACAAGTACTTCGGATACATTTTTTTTTTTTTCTTTCATGTTTCAACACTTTACACCTCGATAACTCTTCGATTTCGAAGTAAAGTAAATATTCAGTAAATCATTTCGAGAATATAAAATTTAATTTGATCACATCACTGAAAGTCACTGTTAAAATAAATAACGATAATAACGTGCGTTGGATTTTGAGACCAACCGATTGAAATAAAACTAACGCGATCAAAGGAAACGTTATACTTTTTGTTGTTGAGCAATTGTTATCGGCTGTTAGTTTATGGGAGTAGGCTCCATATCCATGGTAAAAAGTATTTCTCGCTTCACGGTTGTGGAAAATGTGGCAATCTCCTAAGTCATTGTTGCGTACGACGCGGCTGGAAATGCTCAGCTCTCTCGTTCCAAGGCATTATTTTCAGCTCGCTTGCAGACCTTTCGAGTCTCGAGAGTCGAAGTTGGCCACTGGCGCGGCTCGTCGCGCGCCCCCTATTGAAATCCGAAGGTGGTGAGCAATTTACTGCGATAACGCCTTGCACTGTTTGCAATTCTCCATTCGTTCGTCGAACTCTTCTATCTGAAGTGTCATTTCGAAAAATTTGTACTCGTCGTGAATGTTCCTAGTCGCCGTGCGTAGTATGTCGTGCGGGCTAGTTCCCGGTTTTATCGCTAGATGCGCCGACAATGCAGTCTTATCCAACGAGAGGGCCCAAATACGAAGATTGTGCACCTTCAAGACCCCCTCTATTTGCGTGAACGTACTCTCCACTTGAGAGTAATCGAATCCCTTTGGTATACCTTCCATCAGAACGTTAATCACGTCCTTGATTATCGCGACCGTGGTGAATATCACCAACACCGAGAACAAGAAGGTGCATATTGGGTCGACTATGCTCCAACTCGGCTTGAAGTAAACGATCAACGCCGCGACGAACACCCCCGTGCTCTGAATGAAATCTCCCACAACGTGGATGAAAGCAGCCCGCACGTTTATGTTCTTTTTATCGTGGTTCTCGTTGTCGACTTTACCGCTTTCCACACAGTCCGTTTTCTTCTTGGACTGTTCGTGGCTGTGCCCATGACTATGCCCATGGCTGTGCCCATGTTGGTGCAACGACAAACCCATTCTGCGAAATAGAACCGATCACTAACATTAACCGATAATCATTCGGCTAGGATGACGGCAAAGTTGGACAAATCTTATTCGCGATTAACGAACCCAAATTTTTAGGGACATGTTCTTCTTTGCGTCACGCAGAGTTTTACGCATTTACAAAACTTGTGCTCGTTATTCGTGAATAAAAGTTGCCCGACCCTGAATGACGGGCGATCGTTGGACGGATTTTAGTTTAATGGTACATATCACTAACACTAGATTTACCGCAACGCCAACGGCAGACGAGATTAACATTACGTTCGCATCTAATTTGAAGTTTTGGTGAATGATCCTCTCCACAGCCAGGTAAAACAGTATTCCAGTAACTACCCATATCAACAAAACCGACGTCAATGCTCCTATTACCTGCAACGATTTAACAATGTTATAGTTAGAAATATTCGTTTGGACGTGAAACAACAGGGGCAGTGGACAAAATTTCTATAATGTCAGACTTAGATGAGTCAACTATAAGATGATCCCTAAACTTAATTTGCAGAGGGATTAATACAGAGTGCAAAATCTGTATTGCACGGCTGTGAGGTATACGTACTTCCGCTCTGTACCACCCGAAAGGCATTTTTCTCGTCGCTGGTCGACTCGCAACCCATATCGAGAATAACGAGATCATAAACGACGCGAAATCGGTCAACAAATGCGCAGCGTCTGTTGCGATGGCCAAACTGTTGGATAATATTCCACCTGTAACATGATTGTTCAGCTAAAAAACCGTTTACCTTGCTTCTTATTCGATTTCTTTTAGATATTGCAAATAGTTATAAAGAATGCCCTTGAACGATGTTCACGATGCGAAAGAAATTCCTCTTTTTGCTCATAAATTGCGCTTCCGTGATATTAAGTGATCCAGAAAATATTGCTCTTTTTTGGTCACTTTGCTTCCTGATTATTTTCAAACCGTTTATCGAGATGGCAACATTTATGACTATAAAAAATAGCCATTAATTTGTACGTTATGAAATCGTGACCGATAACGAAATAATCTTTTTAAATGATTCTAATCGCTAATTTGGAATTCCGTCCAGGGGTATTCTTTCTTCTTTAAAATACACACTGCTGCTCAGAAGTTAGGAATTAAGAGAATTTATGACAAAGTATGGGTGGTATACAGGGTGTTCGGGTGGGAAAAATTTTAATGGGGGATTCTAGAGGCCAAAATAAGACGAAAATCAAGAATATTAATTTTTCGTTTGAGGCTTCGTTAAAAATTTATTAACAATTAAATTCAAAAATTTCAAATCGTTCTGGAAAAATTATTTTTTGTTGAGGGGGTCAATTACAATCATTTTTGGTCATTACACATACCCCCGAAATCCTATCCACTTACGAGAAAAAAATTCCTTACCGAAAATCAAATGCCTAAATTTTTTGACGGGAAAAAAAAATTTCAAATCGTTTTGGAAAAATTATTTTTGGTTCCGGGGGTTAATTACAATCATTTTTGGTGAATAGACATACCCGCGAAATCTTGCACATTTTCTAGAAAAAAATTCAAGGTATGAAATTTTTCGACGGAAAAAAAGAATTTCAAATCGTTTTGGAAAAAATATTTTCGATTGCGGAGTTCAATTACAACCATTTTTGGTGAATAGATATACCCCCGAAATCTTGCGCATTTTCGAGAAAAAAATTCAGTACGGATGGAACTTTAGGCGTTAATAACTTTTTAATAAAGCCTCGATCAACAAATTGGTATTCTTGATTTTCGTCTTATTTTGGCCTCTAGAATCCTGCATTAAAATTTTTCGCTGGGTTAGCTGAACACCCTGTATACATGAATTAATAAAACATGATATACCGCTGGTCAATCAACTGTCTGAGAAGATATAACAATAGTAATTTGCATACATATTTGAACCAGAGTAACCACTTAAAGGGATTTCAAGCTCATACAATTTTCACTATTCTAACCTAAAAAAAAAGTAAATATGTGTACGGAATCCCAATATAAAGTAGTCTCACGGTTGTCTTTTTAAAAAATAATTAAAAAATAATTGACGTGACACTAGTTTAAGTAACGATAAATTGTTAACGTTCGAGCAACAGCGAGTAGGTTTGTCACGTTTAGTGGCGCATTACCTACGATTTCCGCTATCATAAACATTACGCACAGCATACTAGCAAGAAGTAGTTTCTTTCTTGCCTTTTTATCGATCTCCTCATCTCTTTCTCTGTGACAATGGTCTTCCGTCAAGGCTGCAACGGAGAAACAAGACAAGAATTACCGAACAGCGTAGACGGTAGATCGGAATCGATAAGAGGGGCGAAACTTACAGGAAGAATTTTTGTTATAATCGGCGGCTGCACTTTCGTCGGCAGACATACCCTTAACGACCGTACAGCAGCCAGAAAGTTTCCCGTGGACGCAGAAAATCACCTTCTTTGGCGCCGATATTTCGTTCTCTTCGACTTCGTTGTTGTTCGGCGGAATACTCGTCCCGTACCCGTACACAGCTTTATCTTCGAATCTGCAAATAAATAAAAACTCTTATTTTTCTCTTAAAAAGGAGGGGAAGGGGTCTCGTGTAAAAATTTTGAACCCAAAATTGGTCAAATCTTATTCTCGAACAACAAATTGCCAAACTAGACAATAATTTTGTAACTTTTGCAAATTTTACCATAAAATTTTGGATGCTTATTTTTTAAACATTTCATTCGAATTTCATTTCGAGTATCGTAAGTTTGAATTGTATTAACAAAGTGTTGATTTTAACAAATTACTTCGCTGTTAATGGGATAGCAATAGGAGATGCACTGTGGTCGAAAGTATATGCACAGATAACAATAACGAACAGAAAACTTTATTATAGAAGGCGAAATACATAATGATCTGCTACGTAGTGTCTGGACGCGAACTCGCGACGATCTGAGGAACGCACGGCACGGTGCTCGTCTAAAGAACGGTTCGATCAACAATCGGCGATCGCCCTAACCGAAAAGGGCGATTTCACGCCGTGTGCAACGCTGAACCGTTAACGGATTCCGTCTCGTAATATACCACGAACGGTTTCCTGTGACAACAGAAATTTTATCGCGGCTGCATAAATTGGGGTAAACCACGCTTCGTAAATGCAAATTCCCATTAAGTAAAACGTACCTAACGATTTGTAAATGAAACTAATTTCGAAACTGTTAAAAGATTCGTTATTCACCGTTTCCGTGAAGTTTTCGCGATACGGCGTAGTGAACAATTTTTCTAACAATGAATTATTTATTTACAATATGTTCACGGTTATATGCGCGTGAACTAATATATGTTGATGTTATACAGGCGTTACCGCGTTTGTACGAAAGTAACTGCCGACTGTCTACTTTTCATTTCGAGATATTTTTTATGACTTTTTATTTATAATTATCGCTAACGAGCGTGTTTTATTTTACATAAAAAAAACACACGGATTCGCGCGCATGAAACAGTAACAAAAATCTGTGTTTGGGAGTCGCGTCGACCAACCAGAATTCGAATACGAAATTGCGCACGAAAAGAAGATATCGATCCTTTTAAAAGATCGAAGTTAAATAGCGGCTAGAGAAATCATCAAAATATTGTATCATATGTTCTTCGTAACATTTCCGACCAGAAATTATTTATAACGGTTCGAAACCTTTTCAGTCACTATCACTGTGCAAAAAGTCCGTTAGAAAGTGAGCGTAATACATGCATCTTACTCGTAAGATCGGTGAAAGACTGAACATAAAGAGTCGATGGACTTCCTGGTGTTAAATGACCTAATATATACACAGTCGGATAACCTCTAACTATTGTTTTGTTATCCGTGAAATTGTTTACATAATCCCAAAACATAGATAAAACTAAAAACTAAATGTAAAACTATAAAAAAAAAGAAACATAACGTAACGAAAAATAACAACGCGTTGAATGTACTAATTATTATCGAACAATCACATTTTAAATACGATTTTTCTACGGTTCACTAAACCATTTTGTAATTGATTGCTTATTACAATGGATTTTATATCTCTCCAAGACACGGCTCAGCTCGGGCAGAAGCAATAAATCTCTGTTTTTTAATATTACTGTCGCTTCACGACGAATTGAAAATCGTTATACTTCCGTTCGATCTTCGATCCTGTGCAGACGTTCGAGCAAACGCGCCGTGGATCGTCGCGCGACGAATCGTCGACTTCGCGATTTTCCATCGCCGCGATCGTGGCTAGGAACAAACTAGCGACGTTTCAAGCGTGCAAAACGATTTGGTGACGGACAAGCGCCGCCCAAGACTCCTCGCGGCGAGCCAATGAGAGCCAGTGACGCGGCGCTGCGATCGTTTCGTCGAATCCGAAGCGAGGACCGAGCCAACGCGTTTGCGCATTGGCCGCTTGACCAACGACCACGATTGCCGCCAAAAATTCATCAAAATATACCTAGAACGAACGTTCTTTACGGTAGAAGAGTTTCTATGAAATATTGACTCGTGTATTTGCGTAGGATTTCGAAAAGATTATAAAAATTGAGTCACTAATTATCATACAACAAAACTGTTTTGTTCTGTTAATTTATCACGCTGTAGATATTATGTGCTCTTCCGGGAATTGCTTTTGGAATCGTTGAGGGTTAAGTGTAGTTGTGTTTTTCATTGTACGGACGCGGAAACGAACCGTCGAAAACAACGGAGATGTTTGGAAACTCAGAGGCGTCGTCGAGATAAGTTTCTTGAACGACGTGCACGCATTTTACGTGACATCGAGTTTTTATCAATCGTTATCGTTCAACGTGCGGCTCTGCTATCTGACAATACGTATCACGGACGATCCATGCCGTGTGCAAATGCGTAGACGGTAGATCGTTATCCGCCATGACGATTTTCACTGTCGAAAGAATCAGGTTTCTGCGTCGGTCACGCGCCGACGATAATGCCGTGTGCAAAACCGATCGAAACGACGAAGCACGACAGGCAAAAATTTTATTCAACTTCGACGGAAATTCTTCGTTAAAATTACGAGTTTGGCTCGACAAAGAATCTTTTTACTAGTGTTATGTATCTTGCAGTATTAAAACTCGATATTTAAACAATATTCTCTAGGTACGATCTTCCTATTTATTTATTATCGAGATAACGAGGGAAAAAAATGATTTGATAAGGCAGGACTTATTTACCTCAAGCCCGGTAAATTAAAGTACGTTAAAGCCGTGTAACCCTAACCTAAAATAGAACATAGTTTTCGTGTCCCACCAACGAAATCGTATGAATTTGTTGACTTTGTTCAAGTGCAAGGAAAATGGAAAAGAACTAACGATCGACGATACCATTCGGAACATATAATCGTTGATCGTTCGAGGCGATTGACGCTATTACATAGTAGCCTAATCGATCGCGATAATTGTCAATTAAATTGCTTCGATTGTACGTTTGTCATAAACGTGAATTTATGAACTGTTACGAAATGTTCGTAACGTGTAATGCAAGCCATTGATTTCGAATATAGTTTGAAATTGCAGGTGCACTTATAATTATTAATATTAAAATAGAGTCGGTATTTTTAGAGCAAGATGTTAATATAAATATTCGACGAGTCAAGTGGGGAAATCCGTGCTTTTCAATATCACTCATCGATCGAAATCGATCTACGTAAAAGAATAATCTTCGTTGAATCGAACCTAATAATTTTGTCCAAGATTATTACGAAAAAAAACAAGAATATTAAAAAATTAATATACAATGGGAGATTCTAGTGGCCAAAATAAGACGAAAATCAAGAATACTAATTTGTTGATGGAGGCTTCGTTAAAAAGTTAATAACGTTTAAAGTCTCGACTGTATTTAATTTTTTTTCTCGAAAGTTCGTAGGATTTCGGGGTTAGGTCACTTCACCAAAAATGATTATAATTGACACAAGCGACCAAAAATAATTTTTTCAAGAAGATTTGAAATTTTTTAATTTTGTCGAAAAATTTCACATCTTCACGAATTTTTTTCTAGAAAGTGGGTACGATTTCGGGGATATGTCTATTCACCAAAAATGCTTGTAATTGACCCCTGCAACTAAATATAATTTTTTTAGTATGATTTGAAATTTTTTTTTTCGTCGAAAAATTTCAGCATCTACTCGAATTTTTTTCTCGAAAATGCGCAGGATTTCGAGGATATGTCTGTTCACCAAAAATGATTGTAATTGACCCCTGCAACTAAATATAATTTTTTTAGTATGATTTGAAATTTTTTTTTTCGTCGAAAAATTTCAGCATCTACTCGAATTTTTTTCTCGAAAATGCGCAGGATTTCGGGGATATGTCTGTTCACCAAAAATGATTGTAATTGACCTCTGCAACTAAATATAATTTTTTTAGTATGATTTGAAATTTTTTTTTTCGTCGAAAAATTTCATCAGCTACTCGAATTTTTTTCTCGAAAATGCGCAGGATTTCGAGGATATGTCTGTTCACCAAAAATGATTGTAATTGACCCCTGCAACTAAATATAATTTTTTTAGTATGATTTGAAATTTTTTTTTTCGTCGTAAAATTTCAGCATCTACTCGAATTTTTTTCTCGAAAATGCGCAGGATTTCGGGGATATGTCTGTTCACCAAAAATGATTGTAATTGACCTCTGCAACTAAATATAATTTTTTTAGTATGATTTGAAATTTTTTTTTTCGTCGAAAAATTTCAGCGTCTACTCGAATTTTTTTCTCGAAAATGGGTAGGATTTCGGGGATATGTCTGTTCACCAAAAATGCTTGTAATTGACCCCTGCAACTAAATATAATTTTTTTAGTATGATTTGAAATTTTTTTTTTCGTCGAAAAATTTCAGCATCTACTTGAATTTTTTTCTCAAAAATGCGCAGGATTTCGGGGATATGTCTGTTCACCAAAAATGATTGTAATTGACCCCTGCAACTAAATATAATTTTTTTAGTATGATTTGAAATTTTTTTTTTCGTCTAAAAATTTCAGTACATACTCGAATTTTTTTCTCGAAAGTGCGTAGGAATTCGGGGGTATGTCTATTCACCAAAAATGATTCTAATTAACCCCCGCAACTGAAAATAATTTTTCCAGAACGATTTGAAATTTTTGAATTTAATTGTTAATAACTTTTTAACGAAGCCTCCATCAACAAATTGGTATTCTTAATTTTCGTCTTATTTTGGCTCCTGGAATCTCCCATTAAAATTTTTCCCAGGTATGGCCGAACACTCGGTATAGTTTTCTAATTGGTTATTCGTTAAAAATATAGTACGTTTTGATTCCGTAGTGACTATGTTGAGTCATCGGATGTCCATCGACTTTGAAACGATATCTCAACCACAGTGACAAAACTGTTTATGTTAGCAACAACCGTATCATAAAAAGAGACCCGACAATAGAAACAGTATCCTGCGTCGGTTTGAAAAACGGAAGTACTGGTACAGTGAGTACAATAAGTATTCCAAACTTAGTCACTGCGAATACAGAGGAAAATCAGTTATCGTACGTGTAAGATAATGTAATACACTCAACCA